TATCATCACCAAAAGCATAAAACAAAAAATCTACAATCTCTACATAATATATATATGTATAATGGGTGATACTTATGCTTTATCAAGAATTTCAAGAACTATATAGCAAGATTATACCTTGATCAGTTGTATGGGGCACAAGAAGCCCATTCTTGTTTCCCAAACACCAAGAAAGGAAAAAAATTCAAGAAGCTTATAAAAAGTAAGAGATTATAATATAGGTGATGAGAAAGCTAACCAGCACAAAGACGACCAATATTTCCTCCTCTGATAGAGGTAATAACGATAGGGATAACACCAGCTAACTCTGACTCATAAGCACTATTCAAACATAAACACCGACAATTACATTACTGATGCAAAACTATACAAGAATAAAAACAAAACTGAAGGAACCTGTAAAAGTTCTCAGAGCCTCCTACTAGCAATTAAGAAATAAGCATTAGTGAGTTTTGAAAAGACACCAATTTTACAGTTCTTCTCAAACTCAAGACCTGCCATATCACCCCCATTAAAGCCACTTAGAAAGAGATCCCATACAGAGTAAACACAATTAAGTAGAGGGCTCTGCATGAAATTTATTAGTCACCATGAGGAAGAGAAAGCTACAAACTTTGCTAACGTAAACCTAAGTAAACAAAGCAAAAGTGAAACCCTTAAAAAGAATAAAATTAGGGTGTTGATAAGTCCACAGTGATCCAATTAGGTTCAATAATTTGGGTTTTGTATATTATACTTAGTGGGCTATTATTGTTTATAGTTATTTTCAAGTTATAATCAGTGGTTCTTAATTTTGATGTTATTTTACTCCATTTGTAGTCGTGGGAAATTAAAATTTATATATTACTATTTTACTCAATTTTTATAATAGATTAGGCAGATACTTTGCGTAAAGACACTGAACTGTGTGACTGAAAGTGAAACTGCAAGACCACCGCAACAATTTAAACATGTCAAAGAAGGGATAAAGCGTCTAATGGCATAATGGCTACCTATTTTTTCTCTATTATTTACACCAAAATAAAATAATTATATTATTGAATAGATTTTACTCTAGAGATCTACTCTATAATAGAATTACTCTACTATAGAGTGAAATATAATGTCACTTTTTCATTTATATTTGGAGTGAAAAAATAACATTACTCTATATTTCACACTATAATAGAATAATTCTAATATACAGTAACCATTGGAGTAAAAGTTATTTTATAATAGAGTTACTCTATTTTTATGTAAATTACAGAGGAAAAATAGGTATCCATTAGAGATAATCTAAAGTGTTGAACAATTGTTATATTAAAACCTGGTTATTTAAAATTTCCCATAATGGCAATGGTGATGATGATGAAATCACATTTTACGATAACAACATACAAAGTGTAGTTCAAAACTTTCTGCCATGCATAGAATGTCCTTATAATGCATGGTAATTACTTAAATTTACCATAATTTAAGTAAGTTTAGTGGGGTCACACTTCATAACTACTAAAATAGTGCACGTGCACCCCCTTTATACTGTAGCTTCCCTCCCTCTTATTATAGAGTAGTCCATTGGAGTAAAAGTTATTCTAAAAGAAATTTATTTTATTTTTTTATAAATTATAGAGAAAAAAATAGGTAACTATTAGATATGGTTTAAAGTGTTGAACAATTGTAACACTAAAATCTGGTTATTTAAAATTTCCCATAATGGCAATGGTGATGATGATGAAATCACATTTTACGATAACAACATACAAATTGTAGTTAAAAACTTTTTGCCATGCATAGAATGTCCTTATAATGCATGGTAATTACTTAAATTTACCATAATTTAAGTAAGTTTAGTGGGTTCACACTTCACAACTACTAAAATAGTGCACGTGCAGAACGATGACAAAGAAACTACATAAATGATAGACATATAGAGGTAGATATCAATTAAATGTACAGATATAAATGTAACGTTCCGTTCTGGTGGCCATCGGGGCCGGTGGTGGCTTCCTTTTTGTTCACTTCATTAAAGAAGTGAGATCAGATTCATTATTTTAGTATTATTAATACTTTTGATAAGACATAATAATTATTATTGTTGTATATGGACCATATGGTAGTATATCAGACTTTACTTGGATGTGGATATTTATATTCTTTTTACACACATTTGGACTTTTTAATAGGCTTCATAATCAACATTACTTTTTATTAAAGCATACACCAATAAAAGAAAAGTGTCAATAAAGCCTCTATCAAATAAACTCATAGTAACATATAACAAAACTACTTAAGGGCATCTTCAATGGTTGACTTCATTTTTTACTTTTAAAATGCATTTATTCAAAATAAAACAGAAAATGAAGTTTGTCTTTTCCAATGGTTTGCTTCATTTTTTTGTAAAAAAAATATTCCAAATACATTTTATATCCAATTTATCATTAATTATTAATAATGTCTTCTACTTTTTCACATTTATTAATTTTACTCAATTATTTTATTTTAACAATAGTTTAGCACAATTGTTATTTAATATAACATTCAACATTATCATATAAAAATTATGACATAATATGAATAAACAAACATAGAACATCATATGTTTTAAAAAAAAAAACATCTTGTATATATTTTTTCTTTAAATGATTAATAAAAACTTTAAAAGTAAAATGTGAGCTTATTTATTTTCCATTATTTTTAAACCAGATAAAGTTCTTAAAAATGAATATTCTTCTATTTATCAATATAAATATCTAATTAGATGAAAAGAATAGTCAAAATTCTGAAATTTATTAGATAATATTAACATATTTATTTTAAACGAGATAAAGTTCTTAAAAATGAATATTCTTCTATTTATCAATATAAATATCTAATTAGATGAAAAGAATAGTCAAAATTCTAAAATTTATTACATAATATTAACATATTTATTTTATTTCGATAAAAAATAAGAATAAGTTAAATTTAAAGACTAATTCATAATTTAGAAAGTTCACCTTCAAAAATGAAGCAATGAACATTATTGTTTCAAATTTGAAGCAGTACTGTTCATTGCTTCATTTTGAAGCAAGAATAAAGCATTATTGGAGCAAAAATTGCTTCAAAATAAAATAAAAAAAGTGAAAAATGAAACACCATTGGAGATTGTCTAAAATATTTTTAAGGTCAAACATACTACAGATTCTGCTATTATGTTTTTTATAAGAAAATCTATAACATGAAATCACAATATAGAGACGGATTATACTATAGTCAAACGTTACAACATCTTATATTACTAATACTAAATCATAAAATAGACATAGCTGAAACAATTTTTTTTTATCAAAAGCTGAAACTTAATTCTACTTCAGAGTTAAAGAAGGAACTAAAATACCAATTGGAGTACAATCCAAAGCTGAAGTGTTACCAAATAGGCAAATATGGATTTACAAATTGACAACTGAGGTCAGGGATAATATGGTAATTTCAGAATCGGTCCACAAAAGTGAGCAATTCAGGGCGAGTGTGTAAGAAGAGATTAGGCGTGTCTAGAGAAGCTCGCTCAAACTTTTGGACGACCATTAAAACGTTCAATGGCCCGAAAGGACGGCTCTGGTCAAGAGATATATACAGGGCCGGCCCTGGGCTAAAGCCCATAAAGCATGGGCTTTAGGCGCAAGAAAGTATAGTAATCTTAGGGGCGCCAATCATTTCAAAATCTGATTTAGTCTGGTGGTGTTTGATCTTGTCCACCGGTCTTAAAGGATACAGGTTCGAAGCCCACGTCCGTTGTTCTTCTTATTTTTAACATTTTTCCTTTTTTAATAATATATTTGATTTGGAACAGCACTTATTAGCTCCTTTCTTTTTTTTTGAGCAATCTAACTCTTTTTTTTTGAGCAATCTAACTCTCTTTTCTATTTTTCTATGCCCATATATAAGTTCTTGTAATATTTCACAAACTTATGAAATTAAATAAAATGTGAAATTGATATATATATATATATAATATTTTATCAAATGTTTAGTTCTACTATATAGATTTTTGGATTTGTAAAACAATAATACTAGAAAATAGAATTTAATTAGAAATGTTGTCAAATGCCATTATTGATATACTGAAATTTCTAAACAAATAAACGATTGTTGTCCAAACATAAGTGATTTCTTATCGTCAATTATGATTTTAGCTGCTTATGTAGAAATAAAATATCTATAAAATTTTATAAATGATTATCCACAATAGACAACTTAACTAAAATACTTGATTATTTGACATTAGGAAACTAATTTAAGAAAAAAAGAGAAAATATTTTTTGAAAAATAATATTTTGATGTTATGCATTTTATTTATTTGAAAGTAATATAATTTTAATAGTATTTTCAATATTTTAACAATATAAATTAAAGTTCTTAGTTATAATTAAGGGGCATTATTTTTTGGTACGCTTTAGGCGCCATATTAGTCCGGACCAGCACTGGATATATATAGAGAGAGCACCGCTTCTTACTAAAACTTATCGTACGCCTCAGTTCTTTTAATGTACGCACACGTAAGATTTGTTCGAAGTACGAATCAGAAAGAGACGGTAAGATAGTTCTTACTACTTTCAAGTACAAATCTTTGGGTCTATATATATATTTCTCTCTAGAAGAAACAATTAAACAGAAAAGGACTTACTTTTAATCATCATTTACATAAAGTTTAGATTTTTATTCAGAAAGGCAAATAAAATTTAGATTTTTATGTTTTTAAGTTTTTTTTTCTCGGTGTTACAGATCTAATTATGTTTTCTTTGTCCTTTTTATTCAGGTGCGTATATGATAGAGAACAAACGATGTCCCATGTCTTGAGTGTCTGTCTGATTCATGCAACATGTTGGTTTAGATTTGGTTAAAGATGAAAATCTAGAGTTTTAAGATAAGGTTTTTGGATTTTCTCCCTCTCTTGTAATAATAGTTTCTTGTCGGAAAGTCGCAACAAAAGAAAAAGTTTTTATTTTATTTTTACTTGAGAGAAGAAAAAAGAAAGTAAATCAATGGCGAATCCTTGGTGGGTAGGGAACGTTGCGATAGGAGGCGAGAGTCCAGTGACGTCATCAGCTCCTTCTTTGCATCACAGGAGCAGCAATAATCCGACTATGACCCGGTCGGATCCAAGATTGGACCATGACTTCAACAGTGGAAGCCCTAACACTCAAACTCATAACAGCCAAGAGGAGCAGGACGAGTTACCCGCCGTCGAACATGGATCTGGAACCGGGTCTACGGGTCGACGTCCGAGAGGGAGACCACCTGGTTCCAAGAACAAGCCCAAGAGTCCAGTGATTGTCACCAAAGAAAGTCCCAACTCGCTGCAAAGCCATGTCCTCGAGATCGCCACGGGTGCTGACGTGGTGAAAAGCTTAAACGCGTTTGCTCGTAGACGCGGGAGAGGCGTTTCTGTTTTGAGCGGTAGCGGTTTGGTCACTAATGTTACTCTGCGTCAGCATGCTGCATCTGCAGGAGTTGTGTCTCTTCGTGGTCAGTTTGAAATCTTGTCTATGTGCGGTGCTTTTCTTCCCACTTCTGGTTCTCCGGCTACAGCTGCTGCTGGTTTAACCGTTTACTTAGCTGGAGCTCAGGGTCAGGTTCTGGGAGGTGGAGTTGCTGGTCCGCTTATTGCATCTGGACCGGTTATTGTAATCGCTGCAACGTTTTGTAATGCTAGTTTCGAAAGGTTACCAGTTGAAGATGAGCAGCCTCAACCAGAACTAGAAGAAGCGAATAAGGAGAAAGAGAGTGATGATAACAAGAGTGAGAATGATGGTTCTATGCAGGCACCGCCAATGTATAATGTAACTCCTAGTTTTGTGCCAAATGGTCATCAAATGGCTCAAGACGTGTTTTGGGGTGCTCCTGCGCCTCGTGCCCCTCCTTCATATTGATAGTTAGATAGGGTGATGGTTGCATGTGATCTTGTAGCTGAGATGGTTATGATTTCCATCTGTTGAAGTCATTAGGATGGTTAGGCTTTTGTTTATTAAGCTCTCAAAAGATTTCATTTTTTTTGCGGGTAATGAGATGACATTTAGCTAGTTGTATTGTTTTGTGGTGGTGATATTACTGGTATTTCTGACTGATTATTTTGATCGCGGAAGTTTAGCTGATTGTAGAATTGCATTTGAGCTTTGATGTTTAAAACCTGGGCTTTTGTCTTTAAGAGAAATGGTGTGTGGCTTCTACATTGAAAGCATTATTACCAATACTATCATTCAACTCTCAATGTTGGTAAGTGTGTGATTCTTATTGATTGTTCGAGTTCTTTAAGCCTTCTTAATAGTTTTAAGCATTGTTCGAATCATTTCTTTAAACTCTCCTTGAGGCTGATAAGTATTGTTTGCGTATCTCTATTGATTTGTTCTCTTTGAGCTTGTGACGCTGAAAAGAGTTATCAAGAGAGGGGTCTACTTTACCAGTAGATATTGATGATTATATGTGTTGGAACCCAAATTTATAAGTCACTGGCCTGTGTAAATTTATGTTGTAATGTGAAGAGAAATATGGATTAAATGTCTTTTGGGCTCTAATTAAAAAGCCTTTCATTTGAATTGCAAGAGTAAAAAAAAAATAATTCCAGGAATGTACCGAAATAATTCTAGGAATATGCCGGAATAATTCTAGGAATATTTGTCGATTACATCAAGTCAGCTGACAACCTTGCGGATCCGTTTACCAAAGGTTTAACAAGAGATCAAGTACTAAAATCATCTAAGGGAATGGGTTTATTGCCTACTACTAAGAAGATGTTCGATGGAAACCCCACTGACGTGATTGGAGATCCCAAGAGGTTGGTTCAAAGGAAAAACTAAGTCAAGCAGAATCTGTTTAAAGCACTGAGAATTACTCAGATCCCAAGATGATAACAGTGCTTCCTGTAGATATTAAGGTAAAGCAATGGCTTTTTAATGAGATAAGACCATAATCTTCATATACATGTATATAGAGTATAACAGGATACTTTTTGTGTATGTGACATGTACTAATGGCAATCACCTAGTGAGTGTGGAATGGGGCCGTTTCTAGGAGGAGAAGTTCAGGCAAGTCTCTCCAAATTCACTCATGACTACCAGGCAAGTTCAAGGCCAAAATAAACACAACAGATAACTTAACTCTATGAGAAGATGAAGCTGTGTTACATATGTTGTCTCGGTTTACACAAAACTTCGGGTGGTCAAGACATCACGTTCACTTCCTGAAATGTAGATCCGGCAGATTCTAATAATGAGTGGTTCAAGGCTGGAATACGCTACTACCTCAGATGCAGTCAGTCTTCACTTATACTCTCGAAAAGTCTGTCTAGTATAGTGTTAAGTCTAGTCAGTAGAGTCTATCGAGTCTGCATAATCTTGTCATGTCTGCATTGTCTAGAGTAATTTCTATTCATGTGGGGATTGTTGGAACCCAAATTTATAAGCCATTGGGCTGTGTAAATTTATGTTGTAATGTGAAGAGGAATAAGGATCAAATGTCTTTTGGGCTCTAATTAAAAAGGCTTTTATTTGAATTGCAAGAGTAAAAAGAAGAATTCCAGGAATATGCCGGAATAATTACAGGAATATGCCGGAATAATTCTAATATGCCGTAATAATTCCAGGAATATACCGGAATAATTCCATGAGTATTCTTTATTCTAGGCGAACCTTTCTATATAAATAGACGCCTAACATCTTCATTGTTTCTCAGACTGAAAAGCAAACAACAAACAGTTCCAATAAAAACTCAATTCTTCTCTTAAAGTAAGTCTCGAGAGTATAGCGTAGTAGTTAGTTCGTAGATTCTGTTTTCGGGTTCAGCGAAACAGTCTCATCGTGGTTATATCATGGGATGTAAAAATCGCATCTAAATCGTCACACATTACGGGCGATTTATTGAGTTAAGGAAATAGATCAAATCTCGACTCCACGAATTCGTCTATTTCCTTAACGATTTCTTAAACATTTTTTCCGTCTCATCTTATCGTTATACGATTTCTATTTCGTGATTTTCAATCAGTATTTTCGCGGTCCTACAATATGTCCCTATCAATATGCTTCATTCAGAATCTCTAAGCACATAGCCCATTTCTAGCTTCGTGGCTGTTAATACTGGTGGGGTTTTTTGTGCTTAAAGACTTAATTTCTTATTTACATGTGTGTTGTTTACTCTTCTAGCGAGAAGTGTTTGATAATTTGACAACGGTAATTTATTTGGTGTTATTGTTTGGTTTTGGTCCCAAGTTTTTTGTGTATCAAGGTTTTATTAAATTGGTATTTTTTTTCTTTTGGGATACTTACAGTGGCCAATTCCTTTTATGTAACACTTGCACTACAAGCAAATCAAAAACGAAACTACATCTATAATTTGATTCTCTTGTAGATCAGGCACTCTGGAAAGATGAAGGTTTAGTATATAACTAATTTCGTTACTTGTTTCTTCTGCGAATATGAGTGGATATTAATATTCCTGATTTAGTTTGTTATTTTCCAGTCTCAAGAAACATATAATGAATTAGAGCCAACTGTTTTGTTTTGGCTTGAATCTAGAAAATAAATATGGTTATTGTTTTTTTGTTTGGATTCGGCTCTGGATTTGGTCAAAACAATTAGTTCACTGACCCAATCTTATTAATTTACTCTGCTGAAATTTCCTATTAATTTTTTAATTTGTTAGTAACATCTGAATATCTGTCTGACATTTTAGTCATCACTATAATTATCGTAAATCGTTTTTATTATTTTATCAATCTGTTATTTAATTATTTTTAATCAATCTCTTTTTCAACAACCATTTCTGTTTTGAACGACGTTAACTTTAAGCCGATAGTCTCCAGAAAGACTTCTCCCATTTTGATTTTAATAGCTTTTATATTTGATTTATTGACTTTTTGTTGCCTATCCAAGAATATTGTCTACAGCGTTTAAAAAGTTTTGCATGCACTTCAATAATTTTCAATGACAAAAGGATGAATCCTTTACACAGTTCATATATATAGAAACGCGTGTCACGATACTTTATCATACTTAATATGATGGAATTTATCGAATGGTGTAAGTATATAAAGTTGTTTTCTTGGTATCAGGTTAAGTGCATTTGCTCAAGACATTGTCACCGGTGCCAAAGCCACGTTACTGATTACTTCACCAGGCTGTATACGTTTGAGTTACTCCAATGTGTGCGTATAATTAGTTCTGCTTCGTTTACATTTGTTACATAATCTAAGAATATCTTTCTCACATATAGATACTGCTTAAAACAAACGAAAGGACTACTAACCGAGGAATTTATATATGGTGTTCAAATTTCTATGCAGTGATGAAAACAATGCGATAGCTTTTTAAAAACATTCAAAGCTATCAATAGAGTAAAATCTCTATAAATTAATATTAGATAGACTAATAATCTACATAAATTAATCAATTTCGTTGGTTCTAATTTTAATCGATTCTAAATTTGATACAAATCGATAAAATAATAAGATAATAACATTTATTAAGTATATATATTTCATATAAGTAAGAACCTATCATTATATAGTTTGATTTATATTCACAATAAAATTATTTCTTTATTTTCTTCCACTTAATATATTTTTGATGAAATTTAGTGTTATTATATCTAAAAACAAATGTAAATTTTATGCAATATATGTTATATACACCAAATAATATAATAAATTAATATAAATTTCAAATTTATAAAATAATAGTTAATGTCTATACAATAAAATCAAATATTTTTTATATTGCAATAAATATATCTTAAAATAAGAAACCTAAATAATGAATTTTATAAATTAATATTTTTATAAATTAATAAAATTTCAAAATCCCAAAATTATTAATTTATAGAGGTTCTACTAAGTAAACCTCTATAAATTAATAGTATTGAGACTTTCCAATTTACAAAAGTTTTCTTACTCGATTTTTTATTTTAAGATATACTAGATTTTGATCCGCGTTTGAGAAGCGCATGTTTTGTTTCGGTTGTAAAAAAATGTATAAAATGATTCGATATCTATTATATGATAGTTTTATGTGTGAAATTTGATGTATATTTAACGTTTTAGTAGGGTCTTTTCATTGAGTTTTGCATAACCGAGTCAGTTTGTGGTTGAACAGAGAATCAGAAAATTAAGTGTTGTGAGATTTTGAAGAATTAAAACACATATTAAATTGAAACCAAAATTAGATGGGTCTATGGCCTATAGTAAATTTGAAAAATCAATACTATTGAAAAAACCCAAAATTGTATTACAAATTTGTAGTTAAATCCAATTAAATATGTTAATCGAATTATATAGTTTATTTATGTTGGTTAAAATAATTACATCTATGATTTTTGAATAATAAAAATAATATTCAAATTCTAACTAAGTTGTAAAATAATAACATCTATGATTCAAAATAATATAGTTTTAAAAATAGAAGAAATTCTGGAGATCACAAGCTCTAACATCTAAAATAATACTATATAAACATTGAGTTAGTAGAAACATCTTTCCAACTATATAAACAATGGTCATTTAGTAAAAATTCGAAACAGAAGTTTTCATTTTCAAAAAATACCTCTATATTGCACAATCTTACCAATCGTACAAGACATATCACCATGCCTTCTGTTTCTTGGCTAAATGTATGAAGATTCTCATCAAATTTACCCTGAAGGCAGCAAGCTAATCTCTGACCACTAATAGAATTGCATATCAAGTTATAAATCAATATGTTTATAGGCCTATATCTTTTATTTAAATATATAAAACTTACGAAATGTCCACCAGACTAAACTCTAACTTATTCATTTGTTTCTCACCACTACACCCCAGATCACCCAAGTCTTGAACTTTTCCAATAACATTTAGATAAAAATATACTCGTGTTAGATAGATACACAACAATGAAGATAATTTATAAAAATGGGAGAAAAATGACCAATAAGAAAATTTGTATCTGTGATACTTTCTATGGTTTTGAAATCAACCAGATCGAGAAACATGTTGTCATCACGGTGTGTAGAATCGTTGATTTTGGTGGTGCCATTAAAAGCTATGCGATACTATGCTGAGTTGATCTGTATGCTCCACCAACGGCAGACACACTGAAACAATCAATATTCCTCCATACTCCAACACGAATATGTTTTGCCAATTCAGGAATGTATGTCTTGTTACACAAGGCATGGATCTTAGTTCCCTATATAAACAAAAAAAAACATTATCATTTAGGTTAAACTTTTACAAAATGAAGATATCTA